ACAGTTGTATATATTCCTATTCCCTTTCTGTAAAGGAGCAGGCGAAAGGCACAGAGATAAAAACCTAGATGGTTTGATCATAAGGACGGGTGAGCCAAGAGCACTGGTCTGGTCGTGGTTCTGTCGTTTGTGTGACACAGCGAAACATGAAAGCTTACTTTTCTTGAAAGAACCATGAGGATGATCTCTCTCTCTCTCTCTCTCTCTCTCTCTCTCTCTCTCTCTCTCTCTCTCATCCTCACTCTCTCCCTTAATTACTCTACCTCTCACAGTCTCGATCTCTCACTCTCCTCCCATCCCACTCTCTCTATACTTCATTTTATCTCTCTCTCTCTCGCCGTCACTCTCTCTTTCCCTCACCCTCTCTTCATAACTCTCTCTCCATTTCTCTCTCACTTTGGGCCCTAATCTGTCTCCCTCACTCTTTCGCCCTGACCTTCAATCACTCCCTTCTTTCACTGTCTCCCTCACTCTTTCGCCCTGACCTTCAATCACTCCCTTCTTTCACTGTCTCCCTCACTCTTTCGCCCTGACCTTCAATCACTCCCTTCTGTCACTGTCTCCCTCACTCTTTCGCCCTGACCTTCAATCACTCCCTTCTTTCACTGTCTCCCTCACTCTTTCGCCCTGACCTTCAATCACTCCCTTCTGTCACTGTCTCCCTCACTCTTTCGCCCTGACCTTCAATCACTCCCTTCTTTCACTGTCTCCCTCACTCTTTCGCCCTGACCTTCAATCACTCCCTTCTTTCACTGTCTCCCTCACTCTTTCGCCCTGACCTTCAATCACTCCCTTCTTTCACTGTCTCCCTCACTCTTTCGCCCTGACCTTCAATCCCTCCCTTCTTTCACTGTCTCCCTCACTCTTTCGCCCTGACCTTCAATCACTCCCTTCTTTCACTGTCTCCCTCACTCTTTCGCCCTGACCTTCAATCACTCCCTTCTTTCACTGTCTCCCTCACTCTCTATCATTCTCTCTCTCTCTCTCTCTCTCTCCCTTCATTCTCCTTCTATCCCCTCTATCTCCCCCTCTCTCTCTCTCCCTCTCTCTCTCCCTTCATTTTCTTTCTATCCCCTCTATCTCCCCCTCTCTCTCTCTCTCTCTCTCTCTCTCTCCCTTCATTCTCTTTCTATCCCCTCTATCTCCCCTCTCTCTCTCTCTCTCTCTCTCTCTCTCTCTCCCTTCATTCTCTTTCTATCCCCTCTATCTCCCCCCCCCCCTCTCTCTCTCTCTCTCTCCCTTCATTCTCTTTCTATCCCCTCTATCTCCCCCCTCTCTCTCTCTCTCTCTCTCTTCATTCTCTTTCTATCCCCTTTATCTCCCTCTCTCTCTCTCTCCTCTCTCTCTCTCTCTCCTTCATTCTCTTTCTATCCCCTCTATCTCCCCCTCTCTCTCTCTCTCTCTCTCTCTCTCTCTCTCTCTCTCTCTCTCTCTCTCGCACACAACACACAGCTCCCTACCTGTAACGTGATCGAAGCCTTTCGCGGCTGTAGCTTGTGGTTGACCACAGCCATCCTCATCACCAGAGCGTGAGCATCCTTCATGCGGTCACTAACTGTCAACCAGCGGAGACTTTCTGGCAAGAAGCTGAAAACATGACCAAACACTTTTTGTTTTTGCTGCAAAGGACGCGAATACTTCTTCTTAATCTTCTTCTTCTTCTTAGTGTTCACTCTAGTGGAAAGTTATGGTTGTTTGTCCGCTTCTAAACTTTGGTCTTGTTACAGAAGTTAATATGTGCGTGCACAACCGTTTTACAGGTCTAGTTTATATATATATATATATATATATATATATATATATATATATATATATATATATATATATATATATATATATGCAGGGTGTTGGTTTTCTTGTCTCTCAGGCACCCGGAACCCACATGGAGAAAGTGAATACTGTCTTAAGTCTCCAGTGAAAGAGTAATTTTAAATTTTAAAAACGTAAATAGAGGTACCTCGGAATCCGAACATAATCCTTTTAGAGATGACGTTTGAATTCCAATTCGTTCGAATTCCAAATCAATTTTTCCAACAAATTCAAATTTCAAAATGTACTTTCCTTATTACTGTACACTTTAATATTGTCTTCATCATCTTCAATTTCCACTTTTCGGAGAGAAGTTATGGTTGCTCAACCATTCCTATACCTTGGTCGTCTTTCATTACTTTAATCTTGGGTTTTTGCATGTATATCTTACAGGTCTAGTTTTTTTTGAAGTAGACTATTGGTTCCTTGTCTCTCAGGCAGACGCATTCTACTTCGAAGGAAACACCTGAATTAGTCACCTTTTACGACATGCTTGTTAGGTGGATGCAGTGGGTCTATTTTTCCCACCCTCCCCTCCCAGAATCGGGTTCCAAAACCCACACGGCGAATAGGGAAGGATTCAAACTCTCGAATAGGCTGCGTGCTAACCACTATGATACCACGACCTCCTTTTGCGTGTGATTCTAAATACTCCGGGAGATGTCACTCTCATTGGCATTGTAAGTCAGGTGGTGACCGGTGCGGACAATTTTATGTCACCTTTAGTGACATGGTAAGTCAGGTGCGCACAATTTCCTGCAAGGTCATGTGGTACCCGTTGTGCGAAAAATTTCCTGTCACCCTCTACATACACACATAATACACATACACACACACACACACACACAAATTTTGTATGTGGAACACATATTTTTATCCCGCCCCCTCTTTGCTCGTGATGGCATCCGGTGCGGCCCACACGCCCCTTGCTACGCCTCTGAGGCGTAACCCCTTAAAAGTACATTTTGTTTGTTCATTCGATCGTTCTATCTGGGAATCCGAATTTTTGCTGTTTCTTCGCTTTTTTGTGTGACTGTCTCCTCCTCTTCCTGCCTCCTCCTCCGCTCCTTTCTTCCAGTAACACTACAACCTAAAGTGTGACACCTGTGCGAGTCAAATACCGGATATACCATTTAATTTCCTTTGAGGTTAAAAAGCGGTGTCTTATTTATGTTTAAGCAAAAATCGACAGCTTACGGTCGTGCAACCTTAATGGACCTATATCAACAACAACAACAAAAATATATATATTTTGTTTCACAAATACAATGTTCGCTTTATATATATATATATGTTCGATCCCAGCTGCGGGCCATGCTCCTTGCGTTCGTTTCGACAGTGGTATCAGGGAGCCAGCCGTCCAGAAAGCAATGGCAAACTACTGGATGTAAATTTGCCTACAAAAAAAAAACACAGCAGCCAGGGACTGTTTAAAAGTTCTTCGCCTATAAATTTACCAATTTAATTAATAATATTTTTGGGGTACATTTAGGTCATGCTAATATGTTGAGATTAGCTCGTGTAATTCTTCTTCTTTTTCTTCGCGCTCACCAGCTGTAAACTCTGGCGGAAAGTTCTGGTTGTTCATCCACTTCTGGACTGCAGTCCTGTTCCTGAACCTGCGTGTTGCGTGTGCATCTGTTTTACAGATCTGACTCATTTGTATGCAGACTGCTGGTTCCTTGCCTCTCAGGCAGTTGCACTTCGACTTTGAAGGAAGCTCTCAATTATTCGACTCTTACGACATGCTTTTTTGTAGACAGTGGGTCTATTCGTGCTCTCCCTATAACAGGGCCCCGGAACCCTCACGGGGATAATGTAATTCAAAACGGTTAGCGTCTTATGCTTACGCTTTATCAAGTAAATCTAGTCCTCAGGAAAGGAGTATCTGTGATGTGCCCAAATAGTTCCAATCAGATTTTTCAGCACACACAAAATATAAAAAAAATTGTCACGTTCAACCAGCACCCTCAAGGGGGAGCTTTTGGTTATAGCTGTGACTAGGTTTATGTGCGCCATGTATAATGGTTCAACACTGCTCGCCACCAAGAAGCCAATGAAAAAGACTCCTGCCGTGTTGATGAGGTCAAAGGAGACAGGCCCAAATACTGTCCCGACCGACAACGAAGTCGTCTACTGACCAGCCGATGGGCGACTCAGTCGCCGATGAGGCCCCAATAGTCGGCCATCCAGACTAATACTAGTTTGCTATACGGACTGATATTTTAATTGCAGGGTATATTTAAAAATGTATCCACCGTCCTTTTTAGAATGCAATTTTTCGTTATTTGAAGCCCCACCCTCGCTCTTGCCGGGGGCCGCAATATAGTCAGGCCATGAATATGGCCTAATGGCGGTTTCTGGGACCTCTCAACAGTGATCCTCATCCACATGGTGGCATATTGTGTTATCGGGTGTTTATCGCTTGTGTGATGTCCTGGTGGGGTAGAAAGCCATTCAGTCAATTGCAGGGTGTCAAAGCTTCACATAGCAGGAAGGGGAAAAAAGTACGATGGAGGGGAGGGTGGGACCGGGGGGAAAAGGGGGGGGGGGGGGGGGGGGAGAAACGGAAATAGCTACGAAATTTTAAGAGACAGAGTCAATTTAAAATTAATTAGACAGTAAAATAACTAACTATTTATACTTACAAGTACAGAAACAAACCAGGAAGGGAGAGAACGGCACACGTGATATGTAAATGAGACCAGTTTTCCATCAGTGAACTGGCCAGTGCGAATACGCAAACACCCACAGACCAAAATGGTACAACTGAAACAAGTGGTCGCCATTTCAGAGGAAGAAATTCCAGAGGAAACGGGAAACTGCAAACCAGGACACCACCTGTAGAGAGAAAAAAAGGTTTCTGATGTAAAATGATGTTACAGATTGATCGTTAACACTTGGGTTTATCTGGTAAAGATTCGACAAACAACTACGAGCTCCCTCCAAAAGTAGGACGCAAATTGATTTAATTTTACGCAAATTTATCCATACAGAGTAGGTCACTTTTCATTCACAAGTTTGTTGGGCTGGTCGACTTTCCTGAAGGTTACAGGTTTGTCCCGCTCCATTGTTTGTTTTCTGTGTTGTCTTGCTTTTATGTTTTCATTCCGAGAAAGAGAATGCCTGTGACAGGTTACAGCACTCTCAGGGGAAGTTGTGTTAGGGCCAGTTTCTCCATATTTGTAGAGTGTTTAAAGCGCTGGCGTGCTGAAATATACACCATGTGATTTTACTGGCATTGCGGAACACCCCAGAAATCTTGTGCCAAGGTGATAGGTTTAGGAACTACCAATCAGAAGTAAACTGTTGTGTATTTTTGGCGGGGCGAGGCGAGATTAACTTTACGAGTGCAGCAAATTGTTTTGTTATCTTACAGTCCCAACCAGGCTGTCAATGGAGCCTAACGGTTGAACGGACTTTATGGAACTTATGTACTGGCGATTCTCATCCGATTGGGCGCACTTTGGCATTTGTTTGAACTTGGTGTTTATGGCTCGTTGCGCGGTCCTGGTGGGGTGGAACGTTACGCACTCAGAGGTTCGACATGACAACATTCAGGACAAGCTCCCTGTTATGCCCGTCTCCCTCCTCAACGGCCAACAAAGTGTTTCCACACTGATAGTACCTGCTGTCCGTTTGGTTAACTACTCGTCTCTCCCCCCCCTCCCCCCCCCCAAGTCTCAAGTGGCGCCCAGACACTCCCCGATGCATTATTTCCTCTAGGCACAGGTTTTCAACATTTTCCATTTTACTCGTTACCTTATCCCCCAAGGAAAAGATCCCCTTTGCCTTGTGCAGTTACAGTACACACCCAAGTGGGCCCTGTCCAGCCAACCGATCCACATAATAATGTTCACTGGCACACAACGTAATCTGTTAGCCTAAGTATACAACGCAGCGCTAAAAAAAACGGTATGCTCTCATTATTATCCGTACAAACCATATTGTTTAGGAAACGGGAGAGGTGATGGCTCTCCGTGACCAGATGGTCAAGCCGTTTGCCTCGAGCTCTCAAGGTCGTGGGTTCGCTTTTACAGCTGCGTCGTTCGGTTCACGACTGCAATTTTTATAGAAAAATCTTGGAAATAGTTGCAGGAAGGTACGGAGTTCGTGCTTTGTGCGACACTCTCGGTAAGCAGCTACCCGTTCGGCGGAGAGAGACCGAGTCATGTGAGATCAAAACCCTGGCAATGAAGAAGATCGTCTCGACTTTAACCGTAACTTTGAGTCTAAGGATTTAGAGCCGCATGCAAGGCTGGCGCAGTCGCTACGGACTGTATAAATGAGGAATTTGGCCCCGCGACAGGAAAGAATGCCAGAACCTCCAAGGACTCTAACCCCGGTCTTCCGAATAAAAGTCAGAAATAAGTTCTTAATAGTTTCACTAGTCGCCCCCGTGAACAGAAGTATAACGATAAAATTCGTGAGGTGACGCATTTTACAACAGTAATTATTACATTTTAAATAATGCTGACAAATTACGATGCAGTGTACAATTTATTTTCAGACATATTTCGCTGCATCTCGTCAAGTGCGTTGCTACAGGGTTACATCAACATATATGAAGCACAAAAACTGAATTAATATCACTGAAATACAAATCGTCTCATGCGATCCGTTGTTCATCTAATCACCAGAAGTTTCATAATAGCCACGTGACTTACTAGAGTAACTTCATATTTATGAAGCATTCCTTCTGTTTACATAAGAGGTGCTTGTTCATTATTATTATTATTATAAAGTATCAATAAATAGTGCAATGTATTGTTTGTTTTTAAATTCACTACGGGAAGACTGTTTAGAATTCTAAAATTTAATAGAATGGAATGTTAATAAGACATCCCACAACATATGAATTAAGTAAATAACGTATTTTCAAGCACTGACATTCACTGGACATATGGTAATGAGCCCACGTTGTTTGTAGAGTTTAGAGACGAACCCACCTTGTTCCCGTTTATTTCTAGGGGACTAAAAATCGGCAAATCCTTGTTTAAGTGTGTAATAAAGTTAGTTGCGTTTCCTTTACAGGATGTCGCAGAAATAACCCTAGCACTTTTTTTGTTGTTGCTGTTGTGGTATTTCTAGTTAACGAAACTAACGCAAGACAGTCTGCTGCCTAATCGCCTGCAGCTAGAATAGAGCCTGGTTCCCCGGCATTACAAAACACGTTCGCAACGTCTAAGCCACAGTTGCCGGCAAGTGGGTACTAACCGTAATAAGAATTATAACAATTTGCTGAATAAATATATTAATATATTTAAAATAACATGAAATGTACAAGCAAATACTTGAAAGAGAGCTCATATACATGGTTGAGGGGGGTGGTGGGTGAGCTGCCACCTTCTATAGGTGGACTGCCTGGATCTGCACCACTCAGTGGTGAATTGATACATGACAAGGCAGATGTGGTCAAGGCTCTTTAGGAACAAGTAACGGAATCATTAGAGAAACAAGATAATTATGGCAGGAAGAGATTGAGGCACCTGGGTGTAACCAGAGGCTCTGGCCGGCTCACTACACTCAGAGGAAAGGCAAGACGGACCCATCAGTATACGCTGGCTGCTGAAGATGAGAATGGAGCACGTAGGGGAATGCCCTGAGTGCTGTGATGTCAATTCTTGACTCAACTCAACTCAACGAACTTTCTAGGGGTGGGAGATGAGCCCATCCCCTGTTCCTAACATTTTTGGGGGTTGCGTAAACTCACCGGTTTCGTCGCCCCTGTTGGGACATTTTTACTTACCAATTCCAAATCCAATAAAGAATCGACACACAGCAAACATCTGCCAGGAAACAGAGAATGCAGTTATAAAGTTCAGAACAGCATGCTCAAGGACAAATGCGTACAGGGTCTTTTTGCGTCCTATGGAGTCTCCCAGTTGTCCGGCCAACAGGGCGCCCAGCAAGAGTCCGGCCATTTGGATGCTGACTACTGCAGGCTTTACCCAGCTGAGGTCGCAGATTAGAGTCCACTGTAGAATATATAAGCTCTCTCGTAACTATGTGTTTGTGGTAGTCATTTAAACAATGATAACCTGTTCAACCCATTGGAGTTATAATTGGCATTTGAAGAGGTCTTTTCTTTTCCCTATTATTTAGGACCGAATAATATAATGTTATGGTTAGTTAACATTGCGTAGCTTATGTATCAATTCTATACGATTGTATGAGTATAGATTGTCAAGTTAAACACTTGAGGTGCACCTTCAAACTATTACGCAGTGGCGTTCGCGGCTATACGCCCATCTGCTGATCGGAAGCTCATGGGTTCGCTTCCTGACTGAGCCGGACTATGTTTAAAAAATCCTTGACTACATCACCCGCTAAGTGTGGATTGGTCTATAAAAATATAGGTCTAGCCCTTGATCAGTTATAGTACTTATATTGTTAAGTCCATCTTTAAGGATGTTTAAAGTCATCCAGGATACTATTATTTTGATAAGATAAATTCACATATTCTAATCCCTGTTCTTCTGATGTACTGTTTTATCCTTCCCTGTAATTGTCTGGAGCCTTCTACACCTACATGTTTTCTATCACCACAGGCTAATCGCAATAGATCATGTATTCATTAAGGGGAGACCTTTGGGCTTCATATTTCTTGCAGTTCAGTAAATAATGGCCAATAAATGATGTAACTGACATTCATAACTGGTGTCTTCTGCTACTGTGACATAAGCCACACCAGGCGGTCTTAGTAATGTCTTATTGCAAGGATGTTTAGTTCACTTGTTACTCGACATTTTCTGGTTAAAGCTTTAACAAGTTTGTATACCTGTCTTCTCTTTATGTTTCCACTGCATATCCGTAACCATTCTTCTTTTGTTATGCATGTTAATGGTTGTGTCCTGGCTGTGTCTATAATATTAGTCATTGCTCTCGACGTCGAAAAAGAAAAATAATAAACTAAAAAGTACTCTTCTTAATGAATATGTGATCCAATACAATAAACCTGTGATAATAGAGAACATGTGCAGAGTTGATGGCTCCAGAGAATTACAGGCAAGGATTAAACAGTACATAACAAGAACAGGATTAGAATATAAGGTGTTAATTTAAGTCAAGAAATGCTTTCTTACTGGCTCGGTATGCTTAGGAAAATGTGATTGGGCTCAAACATAATGGCTGGTGTCTCTGAGGCAGTCACTACTGATAAAGATCAGTCTCATGTTTGGGCTAGGGTATGCATGTGTAAGAGGGAATTAAAAACTGCATATGCTTGCCGACAGGACCACTGTAGAGTGTGAACGAGCAATCAACCAGGCTGATATAACCAGAGACTTCATTTCTGGTGGTACTCAGAACCCCCTTTTTTTTAAGCATCACTTTTTTTCGGCCATACTATCATTGACAATTTATACTGAGCACCCACACCTCTTTAAGATATTTTGTGGCGAGCACTGGAACATTTTCCAAGTAAATTGTGCCTTTCAACATCTGCTAAAGTCAAAGTCTCTGTCTCGCAACAACAAGATCATCATCATCAGTTATGGTTATGCCCAGTGGCACATGGGGCTTCAGAGAGGACTTTCCTGTCCTGTGCTTTCCTGTCCTGTGCAATCTTCAGTGCAGTTTTCCATGTTAAAGATGCCGCACTCGGGTCACTTTCCATCGTTCGTCTCCATGTTGTTTTTGGGCGCCCCTGTTTTCTCTTTCCCTCTGGTGTCCATGTGAGAGCTGTTTTGGCAGGTATATCATAACGTGGCCAAGCCATTTCCATCTTCTCTTGGTAATCATACTGTCTAAAGTTTCTTGGTTTGTGGCTTGAAGTAGTTTATTGTTTGAGATTGTATCCAACACAAGATCAAAATATATAAAACGTTGATAAGATCAATCGTTTTATATGGCTCTGAAACTTGGAGCACAACTAAAAGAGATAAAAACTTATTACAGGTTCAAAAACACAGTGTTACGACGAATCTTTGGACCCAACAACAGCGGGAAATGGAGAGTGAGAAGCAAAATCGAAATTCATAATCTTTTTAAATCACCATTGATCATTGGCTTCATGAGGGCTAATAGGTTGAAATGGTTGGGGCATATTGAGAGAATGTCAGATGACAGAGAGGTAAGAACTGTATACACAAGGGAGATTAATCGTCATAGACCACGAGGCAGAACCAAGAAGACAATGGTGAGATAATGTCCAGAGAAACTTGGCGCTACTAACTGGAAAGAGAAGACCAACCAGAGAGATGAGTGGAGGCGGGTTATATCTGCAGCAATGAACCTCAAGGGCTCGGAATACTGAATAAGAAGAAGAAGAAGAAGAAAAGACTAGAACATTTTCGTCTAGGAAACCCTGGACATAAAGAATACTTTATTAAAAGTAACTTTTCAGCATATAAAAAATGACTGTGAATCTGCACCACGGTCAGATTGCAAAAACAAGCCAAAGTGGGTGAAGCCAGTCGAGAGCAATTGATAGGAAGCCGAAAGCAAATACGGTAATGTTGCTTTATCAGCTAACCGCTGTGTGATTTAATAAGGATGGATCTCAGCAGTTATAAGCTGAATGATTTCGTCTGCAGTGTGGATTTTTTTTGTCGATTATAAGGAAACGTCTTAAGACTTACCTCATTAATAATCGTCAAAGAAGAACTCACAAAGCGGTAACTATCACACTTGTCACCGCTAGAAATGCCAAGGCTGGTTACAGAGCACGCTTGCAGGGATCCATTCTGTGGCTGTGTGAAGTTAGGTCCTAGGCAGTGCCAGTCGGGAACCGTACCCACATAGGTCATCTGTGTGAAACGTAATGAGAAGTTTGGGGAATAAAGTACAGTGTAAACAA